ATGGGGAATGGGCTCCCAAAATCCATTTGTACACTAGGGATACATACTTTTCCATTACCAGAGGCCCATTTACTGCCCAAGCCTCCTAACTGACACCCACATTCAGGGGCTCTGAGTCAGTCCTATGCTGGTTTTCCAGCTGTCAGTCTGGGCCATGAGCTCCCCCTTCATCAGGTCAGCTGTTTCTGTAGGTTTCCTCAGCCTGGTCTTGACCCCTTTGGTCATCACTCCTCCCTTTTCACAACTGGATTCCAGGAATTTGTCTCAGTGCTTAACTTTGTGTCTCTGCTTCTGCTTCCATCAGTTACTGGACGAAGGCTCTAGGATGGCATATAATGTAGCCATCAATCTCATTAGAGGGAAATGGCATTTAAGATAGCCTCTCCACTATTGCTTAGATTCTTAGTTGGGATCATTCTTGTAGATCTCTGGACATTTCCCTAGTGCCAGATTTCTCTTTAAACCTATAATATATTCAAGGATTTTTCATCATTGGTTACCTATCATTAGTTTCCCAGATCCCATCATTAGTTTCCTAGAAGACTCAGAAAAAAGTATGCTGTAGATTTTTAAAAACAAAGCCAGATGGCTAGAATTCAGACAAATAAATCATACTCATTAAATTTCAAGTCAAAGCTATTCCCCTATATTCTCATCACACATTGTACTTCTGTGTTTTGACTTAAAGATTCAAAATGCACAATTGTAGACAGTCATACTGTGCTAATGTTCTGCAAAGTCTACTCTCTAAACTTTGTATCTCACTTGATGATTATCTATTATAAGTATCCTGTTTAAGTGAACACCCCTTTACTAGAACCTGTTTTGTCTGGGCATCAAGTTCTTTCCTAACTATTCACACATACAACCCCACCAGTAAACTGTTACCCTACACTAGGTTCTAGGTATCTGGAGATCACTTACCCCTGGTATGACTTTCTAAGTAATATATTATTTAGCTTTAGCATTTTGATTTTTACTTTAAGAAAGTGCAATCACATTTTCTGTGTCAATTACTTCTTTCACATATCATTGTACTTTTTGAGGTGCATCACTCTTGGAGTGTGTTGTGTGACATATTATTTAATACTACTGTAGCATTCCTTTGCATGAATATATCAGAAAGCATTTGCCCCTTCTCCTTCTGAGGAATGTTAGAATTGCTTCCAGCATTTGACCTTTACAAGCAAGGAAGTCAAATAGTTCCCCTATGTATCTCCCTATGCACCTGAATGCATTTCTTTAGACAAAATATTTATAAGATGTATTTCCTAAAGTTCCTAAACTTTAGGATATGTGGCCTTTCTGGAAGATGTCACTAGGGGCAGGCTTTGTGATTTCATAATCTCATCCCATTTGTGACTCGCTCTCTCTGCTTAGTATTTGTTGAGATGTGACCTCTCTGCTTCCCATTCCTGCTGCTATACCTCCCTGCGATGATTAGCTTACCCCTCTGGAGTTCTAAGTCAAAATAAACTCTCCCATCAGAAAAAAAAATATGATGATTTGTTTTAAGTTTCTTTTCTTTTCTTTCTTTTCTTTTTTTTTTCTTTTTTGCTTTTTGTGGTTGTTGTGTTGGCAGTGAGTTATTTTTCTAAACTTTTTTGTTATTGTTTCTTTGCTTCTGGTAGGTTCTCACTCTGTACCCTCAGATGACTTCAAATTCACTATATAGCTCCAAGCCCAGCCTCATAATCCTAGCAACCTCCTGCCTCAATCTCCCAAGTGATACTGAAATTAGATGCAGTCACACAGCTTATGCATAATGCTACCAGCAATTGCTAAATACTTTTGTCCTTCCCAGAACTTCTCTTTCCCATGAAGATTAGCCTTTGTTTAGTCTTGGGTCTGCATGAGACTGCTCTATCATGTCTTGAAGTTCTGTCCTGATGAGCCATAGCATGGCCTTTCCTTGCAGCCATTTCTTAAAGCATTGCTTCAGTATATGACTATATGAACATGTGACTTGTCCAATGATATTGTACATACTCTGACCTGAGTTTTATGGGAAGCCAGAAGGCAAATGTTGTGAGGTTAAGGGGCAAAACCATTTATCTGACATGATTCCTTTCATCAGGTGGTTGATGGGGGATGTCCTTCTGTACATATATATTTCTTTTGCTGGTTGATGCATAGAAGCAGGAAGATGGGCAGGGTGAGGAGAATTCTGAGAAAGGTAGGCAGAGAAGGCCAGAAAGAGAGGCCGTGGAGGGACTGGGAGGATAGGATGTGCCTGGCATTCTCTGGTAAGATAAGGACATGTAGAAATACATAGATTAGTAATTGTGTGTTAATAATTAAGACAGAGGTAGCCAATAAGAAGCCCTAGCCATTGGACAACAGTTTATAATAATAATAATAATAATAATAATAAAAAAGATGTATTTCTTGGCAATCCATAGTGCTGAACCAATTTAAATTCTCACCAACAGTAAATGAGATATTTATTGCACCACAGACTTCCCAAAACTGTGAATTGTCAAACTTTCTAATTTTGCCAGTCTGGAGGGTGTAACACAATATCACATTGTGGTTTTGATTTACATCTCTCTGGTCATGAATCATGGGGAATTTGCATGTAAAAAGAATAAAAATTTTCCTTTCAAACATTTTCTTCCAATTAGGTAATTGAAGTAGTTGATTTAGAGGAACTGTGACTAATCCACTTTTTTGTCGATTATCTATCTACCGTCTATCTATTTCCTGTCTGTCCATCATCTATCAATCGTATTTCTACAATCTATTATTGTATTATTTGTCAATCATTGGCCTGTATATCATCTTTCCTCTTTGTGTGTGTATAAGTAAGTTATGGAGTTTACAAACTACCTGAATATGACATATTTCTTTCCCCACTGTTGTAATATTAGCTTCTTATACATTAAAACATTATAGAAGGCATTGAAGTTTGCATCTTTCTCATAAGTCATAATTTGGCAAATACATAATTGTCTTTATAGGCATCAGTTGATTTATCTCCTTTATTTCTTCGAGGCTTTGATTTTCACTTAATATAGTTAAGTGTAGGTTTACTTCTCTTTAGCTTAATTGTTGACTATGGCATTATTTCATGAAGAAAGTTTATTTGCTTATGTATATATATTCTAATTCTTTTCAATATTCTCAAGATTTAGTTCATTTTAATTCCATTGTCCAGTTAATTTAAACGTTCTGCTAACTGAACAAAATTAGTTATTTCTTTTGCTTTTATCTAGATATCTTATACTTCCATGAGGTTTGTGTAGTAATATTTTTTTATGTTTCACATTGGATATTTATCTATTTTTACCACATTATTTGATACTGTATGTATTAATGTCTATCTTATAAAATGAAAGTACATGGTAACTCATACACTATAATTTTGCTAATATATGCAAGATGTTTATCAACCAAAATTAACTCCATATTTAATTTTATGTTAACCAGTGTAATTGGTTTCATGACCATTAGGGTTTAAAATCCAAGGGTTTAAAATATTCTTCCATGGTTATTTTGACTGGGATAAAAAAAATGAAAAACTTTGAATTATACTGAGAAAGAACACTGATGTCCCTCAGCTGTTTCTATTTCTAGTGGCATTTTCTAACAAGTTGGGAAAATATTTAAAGTAAACTTCAACTTTGAACTTGCTGAATTCCATATGGGTGCCAATAAAGCCTGAGGCTGAAGAGTTTTTATTTTTTTCAAAAGCATTTTTAGAAAAGTCCCTATTCTAGAATTAGACAATTTTGGTTCACATCTAAATAAACCTATTTATCCTAATAATAGCAATATTAGATTACAATTATATATAGAAATTATGGAAACATGATAAGATTTTCTGAATTATAGAGTAATATTACTCAGTATTAAAAAAGTTTTGGTTTATAAAATACTTTATTGCTTTTAAAAATATTCTTTTTTGATATGTTTTGCTGGTCACATAAACCTTTGTCTTGACATTATACAAATCCTTGACAATGACTTAGATGATTACTAAAGCATAACAGTGGATTATCAGATCATGAAGACAAAAATCAACAAATGTTTCTCAGATCACAATGGAAATTAAAAACATCACAAACACAAATTTGACATCTTTGAAGTTCAACTAATTTTAATAAAGTGTGAATGTAAATGAATGAAAAATATATTATGATTTCATTCTACTTTCAGCATGCACTCAACCTGGAAAGATGTATGCAAGCCAACATGTGTATTTAGCTTATTTAGTGGTAATAGATTCATTTATTACTAGCACTGTTATAAAGAGTTCAGGTTTGTTTTTGACCCTGCAAGCCTCTGTATTCTTCTTTGACTAGGTCTATGACTTCCCATTGCTTTTAATATTTCTACTCTGATAGTGCTAACTCTCTGCCCATACCTTGAATCAGCCAACTCATTCCAGTCCCTGACCCTTGACCAAACCATCACTCTAGGACTAACATTTCCCTAGGGCAATCACAGCAGCGTCCTTCTTACCAAAGTCACTTTTTCAGTGCCACCTCCTCAAAGGCTTTTCACGACTGCCACAGTCATCTTCTCTTTTTATTTCCTTTATCTGCTTTATTTTTCTTTATCACACTTACTACATATCTAATTATTGGTAAGCTTTCTCCTTAATGGCTTCAGAAGGCCAGGGACTATAGTATCCTTCAGTTACAGAGCAAAGCAGAGCAAAGGTACACTTAGGCAGACTCCACCTCCTTCTAGTGCTAAGATCTCAAGCAATAGGAAACATCTGCCTTCATGTTTTGTCCCTCAATGACCCATTATAAGGATACGTCACCATGCTACAAAGCAAAGCTCTTTTTTTTTTTTTAACTTCCAGGCTAGCTTAATGGTAACCTAAATGTGACAGATATATCTCCTCTAAACTTCCCTTTCAAGCATACCACATAAAACTGTAATTTTAACAGAGAAACACACTAGAACATACTCTTAAACTAAGTTCTGTAAAATCCCATTTTCTACTCATAATGTTACCAAATTCACAGGAATGTTCTTTTGTCATCCAGGGCCTTGTGATGATACACCAACTTGTGCTACCAACCTTCAAAATTTGGACTGTCTAACACGCAGGTATTGCATATATTTCAAAGAAATATTCAAAGTAATATCTTGGATTGCTAATAAAGTCAAGGATATTAAGAATGCATTAATTATAGGAACAAGAACTTCACAGAATAGTGTATAGATGACTTTAAAATACAAAGAAACTTTTAAGTAGGAACCCACTAATAAACTAATAACCCACTGATAAAGGTAGAATTACGCACACCTTTCAATTCAAAATTATTTTCTTAAGATATTGGGGAGTAGAATTAACCCTATAATTGTATTTCTTTGTCCAGATGACTAGGAATAGTAAGTTAATTTTGAATATGTCCTATCAGTTTTTTTTAATTCTAGTGATTCAATGAGGTTAGCCATACTCATACATATACGTCACATTACTCTAGAGAGGTTTTTAAATATTATAATATGACTAGGTTATTGATATGAATTGTCTTCTAAGACAATTCTTTTTTCTTTTTTCAAAAGCAAAGAGTCTTTTATTGTTGTTTAAGGAGCTAACTGCATTAACTCGGGCCTTTCTTCCGTTCATCACAGCGGATGGCGCGAGAAAGACCCTGAGGAACCGCAGACTCCTAGGAACCGCGAGGTGGTGAACTTATTGGGTTGCGTAATGGTAGCGAGTTCTTCATTTTCTTAACCACATAGTCATTGTTACTTTATACACCTATAAGTGGTGAGCTCAAGTTTTCCTATATTTGGAGAGCAGAAGATATCTTATTTATAAATAAGAGAACAAGAATATAGGGGAAGGAGTTTCAATATTTTGCTGTATTCCAGATATTATTTTTAGAGATCCCTAGAAAAGTGTGTGAATTTTATTCTGTCAAAGCATAGCAAGAGTGCTTCTAAAAAGACAGATGTGTTCAGCATTATAGAGCTATGGCAACTAAAATAACTGTGTCTATTGATAGTCCCCTTCCCACAGTATTTGATTATATTTCTTTACCCTAACTCATTTTTGGACTGAAAGGTTTTTAATAATTCAATAATGATTTTCCTATCATGGTATAATTATACTAAACTGTACTAAATTGTGTTAGCTTAAATTCAAAGCTCCATGAGATGGTTCCTTGTCTGTTTTTAAGCTGTGGGTTTTTTTTTTTTTTTTTTTTTTTTTTTTTTTTTACATATCGATCCCAGTTCCCTCTCCCTCCGTTCCTTCCTCCCTCTTTCCCTCCCCCCCCACATGTACCGACCACCCTCCCCCCCCCAGTCCACATGTAGGGTGATGCCCATGGAAGGATACTCCCTTAACCTAGAGACAGGAGAGAAGTCCTAGTCCCTACTTCAAATGACTTGACAGATTTAGATGACCCCTCCTGTAAAAGCTGTGGCTTTTTAAAAAGAATTCCCAAGTTATGCTGCTAGCCCTCAAAATAGACCTTTTGTAATAGTTCTTTGTCCCACTGGCTGTCTTTGGGAACTCATCATTGTTCAGTCCTTTTATGTGTCACCTTCCTCTGCACATTACATTTCAGATGACTCACAGCAAGGTTGGAGTGCTCCAATTGCGTACATATAAGTGACAGCTGCCTTTTCTTCCTGACATTTTCCAAGTGATGTTCTGCCAAATCACTTCTCATAACACTTCAAGTTGCTTCATATAGATGAGAGTGAAGAATCTATAACAAAAGATTTTTTTTCTTTTCTGGTTTTCCAAGACAGGGTTTCTCAGTGTAACAATCCTAGCTGTTAATGCTCTCTATAGACCAGGCTGGCCTCACACTCCCAGAGAGATCTGCCTCCCAAGTGTTGGGATTAAAGGTCTGCACTACTACTGCCTGGCAAAGCCAACTGGCTTTGGCGTCCCATTGTGCGTATCCATCATAATTTCATGTTGAAGAGGATAATATAATATTTTAGAATATCATTCCAATGTGCAAACTGTAGTGTGTATTTAGCAGTTTGGAAGAGCTGCAATGAAAGGTTTGGATTTAAACGGCTGTTTCTTTAGTTGCGTCATCTCATATGATTTACTGAGTGTGGGTCAGACTCTCTTGTGTGTATGTGTGTGTGTGTGTGTGTATGTGTAATTATTTTTATTTCTAACAATTAAATTTAAAGTACAAGTACCAATACATTTAAATTCTATCGAGAAATAGGTTCATAAAATCATTCCCATGGAGATGAAACATGTAACTAGAAGTAGCAACAGCCTTCAATTACATCTGTTTGAATCAATAGTGGTTTAGTTTTGGTTTAATAAAATAACTTAGAGCTGAGACAGATCAGAAATGATGCCTGTTCGTAGCTCAGTGTGATATGTTAAGGAACATATCACAACTCACTAACTCCTCCTGGCTCCTGTGTTCTAAGTCTTGTAAAGTGAGCAGATTTTACTGCAAGATTTTCAAGTCCACTCCAGCTCTGATAGTCTGGAATATTTGATTAAAATACTTTGACCTAATGAGGAGCTGAAAAAACAAAAACCAAAAACAAAACAACCCACCATCTGCATATCTTTCTGTCTAATAAGACTATAACAGTTTAGGTCTTCTAACTTTAAGCATTTTGGTAGGGTTAATTTGCACAGTCACTTGACACTCCAGAACTTGCCTGTAGGAGAGAAAGAAGGACACAGCTTCTCTGACTTGATTGCATTCTGAGAAGGATCTAATTCTATCACTTGCTCAAAACTTTCTGACTCCGAGATAGTAAAGATATTAATTTCTAATATGTTTCTAAACATTCCCAGGACCATTTCACATTTCAATCTTTATCTAGTGTGAATTGAACCTAAGATATTTCCCTCCAAATTAAAGACAATTGCTTCACACACCTTTTGTTGGTTTATTCTGACCATACTGGCTAACGATTCAGTTCAATAATTGTTACTAAACTAAGTAACCAAATTGTTTTGATTCTAGGTTCTATTTGATCTTTTTTTTTAACTTGAAGACTAGACTTTATTTGTTAATTCCATTATACTTAATGTTATTTTGAAGATAAATATAGCATTTTAAATCAATCTTGGTCTTAGACATATGGATATAAATATTGGTTCATAGTAAATACTTTATTATTGTTTTATTTTCTGTCTTGACTTAATTAACCTTGTTGTCAAATCAGGTAGATATCTCCTACCAGTTATATTAATTTTGATCAAATTTTGACTTAAAATTGCTATACTAGAATGAATACAGTAAAATATAATTTTTCTCTATTTGCTTATATTCACACTGGGTGTTGAATTGAGAACCTCAGACATGCTAGGAACAGGCTATACAAGAGCTACACACCTGCCTGTCTACAATCCAGGGGATCTGTGAGAGTTAGATTTCTATCAGCTATTTTTCACATTGACTCAGCTTACTCTGTGTGCCATCTTTGTATCTTTCAAAGATTTTAAAATTTTTGCCTACTTTACCTCTTCAGTTGTAGGCTCCTTTTTTGGCATGTTACATTAATGTGTAAAGTCCTACTAATATGTTTAGAAATATTGCTTATTTACTGGCCAGTAAAGAAAGATGCAACTCATTTACAGGCTGTGTTTCTGTTCAGATGAGCAAGTTTCTACTTTAAACATTTGAGAAATGTCTAGAACCTATGAAGAGACAAAGGGTGTATTTATAAAGGAGGCAGAGTTGTTCACTGAAGTTTTTACAGGAAGTTCCTGCTGTGGCTAAATGTTCTTTACTTTCTCAGACTACTATAGATATCTCACAAAGGAAAACCAAGCACAAATATTTGCAGCTTTTTATGTGCTGGCTCTAAAACCTTCTTGCCAGTGAAAAATAGACCTTTGATGTAAAGACAGTAAAGCTATGATCCAATCAGCCTGCTGCTGGAACTGCCAACCCTAGGTCCTGCTTCACTTTCATAGTGGTTGTTTGGAAATGTCTATTTCTTTGCAATCAGAACATTTTTATGTTCTATTATTGTTATCTGGTCCTCTACCCCTTGTTCTTATGGGTAAGAGTGTTTTGCCTGCATGCATGCACACCATGTGTATGCCTGGTGCCTAGCAAACTTGAAAGAGAGTACTGAATCCACTGAAACTTGAATTGCAGATAATTATGACCCATCATGTGGGTTCTGGGAACTGAGCACAGGTCCCCTAAAGAAGCAGCAAGTGATCTTAACCATCAGGCCATCTGTCTAGCTTCCTAGTACTCTATCTTTGAGATGGTCAAATTCATTTATATACAGTTATTTGAATCTTGAAATACATAAAATAAGTGGCATCAATTCACTCTAAAATAGGAAGACGTTTTATGAAGCTTTTCTAGTCTTGTTTAAGTTTCTAGTACAACACAAAAATTATCCAGGTCAAAATTTCACATTTCATTTATTCTAGGAGGGATTCTGAAAGACAGCGTCTCTGGGTTCTGGTGTTATTTTCGTTGTTGTTGTTTTACTCTTTATTTCTGCCATGTTCCTTTGAGTAGATTATTGTAATGTGGCTGTTTTACTTTATGTATATATGAGTCTTCAAGACTATAAAATAAATGCACTTCATTTCAGACATAAAAATTTAACTTCACCCCAAAAATCATTTTTACTTCAATATTTGTCAAGAGTCTTGTGTGACATACATATTAATTTAAAATCTTTCTTAAAGCTGTGCTTGGTAGCATATAAATGTTATCCCAGCACTTGGGTAGCAGGTTCAGGTGAACGGAAACTCACAGTCTGGGCTACATAATGAGAACTTGTTACAATCAATCAATCAACCAACCAATCACACAAGACAAACCAGTCTGTTTCCCACTCTTATGTATGTATATATAGATGCATATGTTGGTTTGTACGACAGAGGACAACATTGAGTGTTGTTCCTTTTTTTTTTTTGAGAAAAAGTTTCTCTGCATGTAACAATGGCTGTTCGGGAATTCATCTGTAGATCAGGTTGGCCTGGAACTCACAGATGTCTGCCTACCTCTGCCTCCCGAGTGCTTGGATTAAAGTCATGTGCCAGCTGAGTGTTGTTCCTTAAGAGGCCTCTATCTTTTTTAATGACACAGGATCTCTCATTAGCTTACCTTACATGTGTGATGAGCCCC